TTTAGAGAAGAAAAATTTTATTTTGTGTTCAAAGTTATTTTTCTAAAGTGTTAGAAATATACACAAAATATTATAAAGAAATATTTATAAGATAAATATTTTACTATATATTTATTACTCCCAAAGTAGTATTATTATAGTTTTTACTATCCTATATTAAACTTGCTAGCACAAGTTTAATCTTGGACTCTGGAGCAAGTTCGTGTGGATACGTTGGAGGCTTCATACGTTTGGCGCTACGTTCATCTCCTCAAAACCATCCCCGACCGTTCCTCCGTTCTCCGTTTTCACCGTTAAGGTAAATTTCTTACTATAGCTAGTAATTTACGTAAGTTGTTCTTGGGTGGAATCGAGTTTTGGACTATAAATTTTTGTTTTCCGCTGCGTTATCCAAGCCTCGTTTTCCAACACTCAGAACCTATGACATGAGCTGATGAAGAAGAAGGAAGAACAAGTCACTCCCTTCCCCACGGCATTGATGACAACTCCCAGAGTCCCATAGAGTGACGGGACATGACCAAGGAACTGTGACACACCTTCCTCCAGCCCTCCGTCAAGCTCGAGAATGGAGAACTATGATGAGAATTTGCCATGATGGTCAAACAATTCCAGAAGTTCAAGAAGTTGTTCAAGAAACTGACTTAGTCAGAAGGCCATCCAAGGGAAAGCCACAGGTAAGTGACTCCCCTCCTGAATCTTATTTATGTTATAACTGCAGGAAACCTGGTCATTGGAAGTCACCGTGCCCGTATCCAAAGGTGGAGAAGTACGGAGAAAGAGAAAGGAACGAAAAGAAGAAGAAAGCAATGGTTGCAGCTGAAAGTGACGAGTCATCCAGCTCAAGCTCGGATGAAGAAGCCCTCGTCTGCATGGAGCGCAGAGCTGAGAAGTCCAACCATGAGGATCGGTGGACTATTTCAGAAGATGACACTCTCGTTCTTATGGCCAAAGATGATGCCGAACAAGAGGTAACTTCTCAAACCTTCTGTTCATCTTCTTATGAAAGCGTACCAACTTCTGAAAGTCTTTTTGACAAGTTCAAAAAGATGATGAAAGATTTTGAGGAAATAAATCTCAAACACTCATCCTTAACAGAGGAGAACAGGCTACTGAGTGAAGAGAATCTCAAGTTGACTGAAGGTTGGAAAAGTCAACTAGATGAGATCACTCAACTCAAGACTGAAAATAAGTCTCTCTCTGAAAAGGTGAAATCCCTCAACAAGGAGCTTAGGATACTTAAGTCCAAAGAAGCAGTGGATAAGCTTCTTGAAGCGACTAAACAAAAGGGTCATGAAGGACTTGGGTTTGTCCCCTCCAGTTCCAAGAGAAAAGGGAGAACAACTTTCATTCCTCCTAAACCTACCGCCAAACCCAATAAGCAGAAAGGAAAGGAAAAGGAGAAACCCACAGAAGTTCCCAAAAAAGGTAGTCCCTTCTAAGAACTATAGGAAGCTGGACAGACCACAAAGAGGAAATAATCTCAGAAGAAAACCGTCTAACCCCCACTATACGCGAGGCTATACTCATTATGGGGTAGATAGAAGTTTTCCGAGAAATTCTGAGTGGAGAACTATGCCATGATATAGTCAACCTCCACCCCAGAAACTATTTGTTCCACCTAAGTATGCTTACAACCGACACAGGCCACACTATGCACAACCTAGACAAAATTATAGGTCTTATCAACCTAGGTTTGCTAGGAGGAAACAGGAAAATACACCACCTGTTCATAGGAAATTTTATGCCTACAATTATGATTACAATCCCAACACGTTTAGGGCTGCAAGGAAAATTCCCTGCAACTTCAAACTAAATGTAGGGACACACACCATTAACTATTCCGGACCCAAACTGAATTGGGTACCAAAATCTTCCTCCTCCTAATGCAGGAAGCCGCTAAGTACCCAGGTGTCTGGTACTTAGACAGTGGCTGTTCAAGACACATGACGGGTGATGCGAGCCTCTTGAGCAATCTAATTCCCTATGATGGTCCAAGAGTTACTTTTGGAGGAAGCAATGATTTTGGCCTTACTAAAGGGCTAGGAAATCTGGTGTACAAGGGACTAACCATCCAAGCTGTATCTTATGTGGAAGGTCTAAATTATAACCTTCTGAGCATAAGCTAGTTTTGTGATAAAGGTTACTCCTTGGAATTCTGCAAGGACATGGCATCTCTCAAAAGCATCTCCACAAATGAAGTCATTCTCACTGGGAAAAGAATCAGAAACATCTATGAAGTAATGTGGGACGATGTCAAGGAAGCTTGCCTAATCAGCAAACGTGACACTAACCTTTTATGGCTTTGGCATAAGAGGTTGAGTCATCTCAACTTCAAAACTCTCAACAAGCTATCCAAAGAAGGGTTAGTAGAAGGCCTTCCCAAAGCTGTATTCAGGAAGGAAAGCATTTGTGATGCTTGCCAGAAAGGAAAGCAAGTCAAGTCCACTTTCAAGCCAAAACTGGCACCCTCAACTACAAGGATATTAAGTCTTGTTCACATGGACTTATTTGGCCCTGTTACTCAATAAGTCTAAGTGGAAAGAAATATGTTTTAGTGGTAGTTGATGATTACTCAAGATACACGTGGACAATCTTCCTCACTAGCAAGAAGGAAACTCAAGGGAAGCTCACAAACTGCATGAAGCTGATTCAAAACCAAGCAAGTCAGACCATCCATAAGATCAGATCTGACAAAGGCACAGAATTCCTGAATGAAATAATCATTCACTAATGTGAAGAAAACGGAATTCTTCATCAGACATCTGTAGCAAGGACGTCTCAATAGAATGGTGTAGCTGAAAGAAGGAACAGAACCTTGAAGGAAGCAGTAAGGACCATGCTAGCCGAAGCTTCTTTGCCAAAGAGGTTCTGGGCTGAAGCTGTTAACACAGCTTGCTATACTCAAAATAGGAGTATGATTTATAAAAGGCATAACAAAACTCCCTATGAATTGTGGAACGAGAGAAAGCCCAATATATCATATTTCCATATTTTTGGGAGCAAGTGTTTTGTGTTAAACAATGGAAAGAATCATCTGAACACTTTTGATGAGAAATCAGATGAGGCCATCTTCCTTGGATATTCTATGGTGAGCAAGGCGTTCAGAGTCTTCAAAAAAAGAACCATGATCACTGAAGAGTCAATACATGTTATCTTTGATGAAAAACATGTGGTTGACAAGCCATCAAAGCATAATCATGAGGTTCTGGATCTCTCAGACAAGGATGAAGAAATCAATGAAGGAGATATAATGAAGCCTACGGAGTTCATTCCATTCGGAAGTTTACCACTGAAGACTTCACGAAGAAATCCGGATTCAGACGGTGTTGAGCCTACCGAAAATCATGGCCAGCCTTCCATTATTCCGGATCACTCAAACGACGACAATTTCGGAAAAGGTGACCCAGTGCCAATCCATCCGGAATCAACAACAAACTCTGTTCTTCAACCAGAAGCTGAACTAGATCAACCAGTCAACCCTAATCAACACAATCTTCGTTGGTTAAGAGACCATCCTCCTCAACAAGTCATTGGAGATATTCAATCTGGCATTCGCACAAGGAGTGCTCAACAGAATCTAGAAGCTATGCTTGCTTGTTTCATCTCACAAGTGGAACCAAGGAATATTGAAGAAGCTCTAGCTGATTCTGATTGGATCAATGCAATGCATAAAAAACTCAACCAATTTTGTAGAAATGACGTCTGGAAACTTGTTCCCAGACCTACTCATCAACATGTCATTGGGAGAAAGTAGGTCTTCCGAAACAAGATGGATGAAAATGGCGTTGTTGTTAGAAACAAAGCCCGGTTGGTTGCCAAAGGATATTGTCAAGAAGAAGGTATAGATTTTGATGAAACCTTTGCTCCAGTTGCTAGACTTGAAGCTATAAGGCTGTTTCTAGCCTTTGCTGCTCACAAAGACTTCTAAGTCTATCAAATGGATGTCAAAAGCGCATTTCTCAACGGAAAGCTAGAGGAAGAAGTTTATGTGGAACAACCTCCATGATTTGAGTTACACACTAAAGGAGATCAAGTGTATAGACTCAAAAAGGCGTTGTATGGACTCAAACAAGCACCAAGAGCTTGGTATGATACATTGTCTCAATTCCTTATAGACAATGGATTTACCAAAGGAATCATTGACAAGACATTATTCAAACTACAAGATGGAGAAGATCTCTTATTGGTCCAGATCTATGTGGACGACATCATATTTGGCTCAACTAAGGAAGATATTTGCACCAAGTTCTCCACCCTCATGCAAGGAAAATTTGAGATGAGCATGATGGGGGAACTCAACTACTTCCTTGGTCTTCAAATTAAACAGAGAAGTGAAGGGACTCTCATTAACCAAGCCAAGTACACAAGGGATCTTATCAAGAAATTTAAAGTTGATCAGAAGCCATCTGTTTCTGTCCCCATGAGTACATCCACAAAGCTTGATATGGATGTAGACGGAAAGGATATTGATCAAACTCTCTACAGAGGAATTGTTGGATCTCTACTCTACCTTACTGCAAGCCGTCCAGATATCTCATATGCAGTAGGTGTTGTTGGCCTTGAATGCCGTACCCCGTAACCGTTTTGATGTGCCAAATAAGTCTTCGAAATGTTACTAACATCATTTGCAGGAAAAACAAACGCCAAAACCTCTATTAGCTTGTTTAGAATCACCGAGATATACTCCTACGAGTTTAGAAATTGTTGTGTAAAGGTAATGATATATTTTAATGAGTTACTTATGCCCTTTCACTCAAAAAAATTAAAATTTTACTGTTTATATAAGAATCAACCCCAATAAAACTTTTGCCTTGTGCTTTTTGCTCAAAACCTTAAAAATGTGTCCGGATTGCCATGGACCGATGGCAATACACGGCACCAAGGTACCGCCGGTAGCGTACTGAACGTACCGGGTACGTTTCACTCAGGAGGTACACGGTACCCCCCCTACCGTGAGACGGTACTTGGATACCGTACGGTAGGCTGAACCGGCTGAGTACTCCCGTCTTAACAGGTACCGACAGTAGCGAACCTAACTTTTGGCCTACACGGTACCCCCAAACGGTAGGCTGTACCGTGTGTCACGGTACCTAGGTACCGGACGGTGCTGACCCTACCGTGAAGGGTACTGGATCCGTTGGCAGCACTGTAGCAAATTGCCAATTTAAATTTAAATCACCCCTAATCACTCCCTAACGGCATTTAACGTTAAAAACTCAAATTTTAACATTCCAAACTCCTATATAAACCCCCTCTAAGTCTCATTTTATGTACAAAAACTTCTCAATTAAATCTAAAGCCTCTTTCTCTAATTCTTGAGTGTTCTTAAAGCTTTGTTCTTATTTTTCTTACTCCTTTGAGTAAAAAAAAAGCTTTCATCTTTTTATACACTCACACACAAGGGCATTTGTGCTTCATTATTTTTATATCTTGCCTATAGCCTGTTGTTGTTGATTTAATCTTTTGTTCTTCTCCTACCCAATTCATATTTGTTATTATTTTGGTAGAGAAGCAACACCAATCTTTTATTGATTTGTAAAAGGTGTGGATAGCCTTTAAATCCTCATTGTAAGGTTGAAGATAGCCTTAAAACTTTCGTTGTAAACGGTTGAGATAGCCGTAGTAAAATCTCGTTTGCTTATTGGCAAGGGTTGTTTGCCAAACCTCGTTTGAGTCTTCTTAGTGAAGCCAAACAAGTTAGTGGAGGTTAAATCCTTGAGGAGGAGCCTCGAGGTACTGGAGTAGGGAGTTCCCGAACCAGTAAAAAATCGCTTGTGTCGTATTTTTATATTTTATACTTTCCTTGCTCTTTCTCCGCTACTACTTTGTGCAGAAGTTTTTTGTTTTTTTATTAAAAAATTTGCAAACACCCTAATTCAACCCCCTCTTAGGGTGTAAACCGATTTTCAATTGGTATCAGAGCAGGAAGTTTGATCCTTTCACACTCATCTTTTGTCTCTTTTTACGACACATGGATTCAATGAACTCCCAAAGCATTACCAAGCCACCATTCTTCAATGGGGATAACTATGGCTATTGGAAAATGCGAATGGAGAATTTCATTCAATCTATTGACTATGATTTATGGATAGTCACTACTCATGGTCCGTTTGTTCCTATGACAACTGTAGGTGAACACCAAGTTCCTACTCCAATGGACAAACTCACCACCGAAGACAAGAAAAAACTCTCCTTGAATGCCAAAGCATTGAACGTGTTGTTTTGTGCCTTGGGACAAGATGAGTTTGCTAGGGTGAGCTCTTGCAAATCCGCAAAGGAAGCATGGAAGCTCCTAGAAGCCACCCATGAAGGAGATAAAGACACAAAAGCTACCAAGATAGCTTTAGGAACATCCGAGTATGAAAACTTCAAGATGAAGGCCGGAGAATCCGTTCAAGATATGAACAAGCGATTCAACCTCATTGTCAACAATTTGAGTAAGCTAAATAAAGTTTATCC